GCAACCCGTCCCAATCTATGGCCTAGCTAGATGGCTTAAATTGTTTATATTCTCCTTGGTCAACCAAAGATGTTGTAAAGCCATACACCAAAGCATTTATCCGTAATCTACGTCCTACATCAAAAATTCAAGTAAACACGAATCCCCGGCGTTAGTGAATATTATTTGAGTATTTAAACTTTCGTCGTTAAATAATTTCATTTGTGTCATTGCAACAAATTCCTTTAGTATCCATCAACATTGTAAAAATCCGAATCAGATCATATATAAACTGGTAAGCTTTGATGATAATTTATAGACACTGTAATCTGTATAATTGAAAATACTGCCAAGCATGATAATTATCACTTACGTGGTTTCATCTTATATATATTATAATATAATATATTTACGCTATGTAAATGACTAAATTAGTTTTTTAATTATATATAAATAATGGTTTTTTAGTTTACACAATGGATTTTAATATGGCTATCAAAACAGAATTAAATGATATTAAGGTCGAGCCTATGGACTTTCCAGATGTCGATATTCCAAATTCTTGTAGTTATGACGAAGGCATAATTCAAAATATGAAAAACGAGGATACGGTATAATATTTTGTGTACTACCTAGCATAATTTATACAATTTATAATTAATATATAATTTATATGCATGTAAAAAAATAGTTACAGTAACATTGTAGTTTTTTAAAATTGTACCTATTCTTTGAGAATTTGTTTAGTATTATTCTTTAAAATGTGTTCCTCAACAAGGTACCTTGTACCTATATCAAAATAATATATATTTTAATGTTGTAAATAATTGTGGTACATAACTGATGTAGGGTATTTTACTATTCATTCAAAATATATGAATGCATACATTTTATGATAAATATGTTTTTTTCTGAGTTCAAATATTTTTATTTTTTAACCAATTTTGCGTAAAGCTTTGTTTATAGAAATAAATAAAGTGTAAAAATCACCTTATTCCCCCTAGGTATATATATAATTAATAGTTACTTATTAATTCATTTTCTTCAAAGTGAAAATATACTACAGATTGATACCTAATCAAATTTGGTTTACCCATAATGACCAAGATCAGTATGATTTTACTCTCAGTGGTTAGAGTAGTATGTATTCTATGTGGGTAGCTAAATATGAATGTACAAAAACAAACATCTATACTGCCGCCACCGAGAGACAACTACCGGGTGGCGACCAAAACTCGTCTGATCTCGAGCATTCTCACCACTAAATCTGCCCGTTTGTTGCTACAACTATATGGTAGAGTCTGAGAAATTTGGATGCGCCAATGAGTAGCGCTTTCTCGGTGGTGGCAGTATAGAATTTACTATGGATACACTCTGTAATCTGTATGAACATGGACATTTTGTGAAACTATTATACTAATAAATCAGAATCTGAAATATCCGGTGTTCTTTAAATTTTCCTTTTTTGTATTTACTAAATGACCATTTGAACTTTCACATTTAATAAAGCCGGATAAGATACAAAACCAAATTGTTGGTATTGTCTTGGTTTTTTAAATAAATTAAATGTATATTTAAGTATATTTTGTATAAGCAATTACTTATAATTATTTCTTTTGCAGATGGAAGATAAAATAAATCCAATTCAAAATCATCAATCAGAAAGCGAAACAGAAGACATTTATGATGAATGTTATTCGTGTTTTATGTGCAATGTGTCATACAATACACAGTTTGACCTAGATGCACATTTGAGGACTCACATTGATGATGATACTTTTCATCATAGTAATATTAACAGTATAAGCGAACCTTTACCTCAATCTTCAATTAAGCCATCGAAATACTTCAGATGCAATGAATGTCTAAAAATTTGTAAAAGTCAACTGTCATACAATGAACACATGTTAACCCATACAGGAGAAAAACCACATCATTGCCGGGTATGTGATCGTAAATTTCGTCATATAGCAAATTTTCGAACACATTTAAAAAGTCATAACAATGTAAGAACATTAATTTGTTCTCTGTGTCAAAAAACTATTGTTGGCGAAAAAAATTATTATATACATTATATGGATGTACATAATAAAATGTCTATCCGTAATCCTCGACCTTATCAATCTAGTTCATCTGACAGTGATGAAGATTTTAATCCCAAAGTTTCATACTATAAAAAGAAAAAACTTAATTCACGAAAGTTTAGAAAAGATAGTGAACCATTTGGTCCTTTGTTTGCTAAAAAAGCATGGGAAAAAAAACAACGAGAATTGGAAAATGTTAATTTAGATGTAATATAAAAAAAAAAAATTAATTAAAAATTAATAGTTTACAACTTAAATTTAACTTATAATTTATTTTAGGCTGAAGAAGAAAAGAGTGAAAGAGATGCTGTGCAGGAAGCAATTGAAAGTTCAAGACAAGATATACAAAATATGCTTAGAAAAAGAAAACAACAACAAACAGATTATAACACTGAAGAATACCAAAAGTTTCTAGAAACTTTGATACTAGAAAAAAATACTACTGGTCAATTTAATGAAGCTAAATTAATTGGTCCAGTATTTTGGAAAAATGCTCTTGTAAAGGCTGGTCTTATAGAAGAAGATATACTTCCAATGCAATTTCAAAGTCAACTAAGACTTATCGAATGCATGTCTTGTAGAAAATGTTTTGCGAGGTAACCATTTGTTTAATTAGTATTTAAAATTATTTCCTGGAGTCGAGTTGGAATAAAATTAATCTTAACATCACAGCTAATAAAATATATTTTATTAAAATATCCCAAAATCTAAAGAATTCATATATTACATATTTGATTTAATTTGTTATTAATTTTAATCATTTAGGCAATTTATTATACATTTAAATATGAACAATTTATTAGTAGGATTCAGATTTAAAGCCCTAAAAACTATCAAAAAATGCTCTAAATCAGGGATAGCCAACCTTTTTCTATATTATTCCAAATAGAAAAAAAAAAATTGAAAGTGTGCTATAAAAATTAACACAGCGATTATTATAACACAATTGACTTTATTATAGATTCTAATCAAATAATATGTTATATTGCATAAAATTATTAATGTTATTTTGATACAACAATTTGAATTGTTGTGTTATATCGTATTAATTTCAAAAATATTTAAAAATTATATTATGTAATTTTATTTTACACTAGTGTGCCATTCGATAACATGAAATGTGCCACAGTTTAACAACCCCTGCTCTAAATAATAATCAAAACTGCCTTTTCAACGTAACAATGCCCTTGCGTTGCTATGCATACAATAGAAAGACAAGCTTTATCTTTTTGCATTTCTAACTCTAACTTACAATGTGACTCTCTAGTTGACCTTTATTCAAATATATTTTCTTTACCAATTGGCTTTTCAAAAAATGTATTGAATAATTTAAGTTTTTTAATTTTTAGGTTACCAAAATCTAATGAAGGTAATATTGTGCCGTCTAAACCACCATGCTCTAGCTGTTTTATGATAAATAATGAATCTACATTAAACAAACATAGAGCTGAAAATCACAGTGAACCTCCGCCATACATTTGCAAAGAATGTTTGTTAGAATCGGATACATGGTATAAATATGTCCAGCATATGAAAATGCATTTGAGATATGCAGCAAAATGTAGTGAGTGTGTATATGATATGATGAATAAACCAGAAATTGTCATATTCTTATGTCATATTTGTGAAATGTCTTTTGACTCTGATGATGAACTTACAGTACATGTTCAAACGCATTTAGAAAATGGACAAAATAATGATAGATAATAATTTTAACATAATTTTATAATGAGTTATGTATGTAATTAATGTAATTTTTATAAAAAAATATTTATATAATATATTCTTAGTAATAGTGATCCTATAGGAATTGTAGTGAACATAACTATTTTGTAGCTTTTTTTAATTTGCGGCCAATATTTTATTTTTTTAACTACCACTTGAAATGTTAACAAATAAGTATCATATATATAATACTCCATAGTAAGAGTAATTATTTAAAAAAATTGCTTTAATTCATAGTTAGGAAACATTTCTGTTTTTAAAAATGTGTAAATATCATATACTTGTATTTTATTTAGAGTATCTATTGTTAATAATTTAATATTTTTTTTTTTATTAATATTCATAGGAAAATACCTAAAATTATAAGAATGAAAAATTCTAATTTTAAAATGTAAATAAAATTAACTTAAATAAAGATTCATATAATAATAATTTTTAAAAATTACTATTCAATTTTTAACAACATATTTTTTGGTATTTTATGATCATTAAATTTGTGTTTTAATAATCTATTGTCTTTAATTATTACAACAATGCATACATATTTTTAAAGTTTTTGGTTTAATTAAATGCTTGTTAATACTTCAGCTTCACATTGTACAATATGTTATTTTATTTATTTAATATTGTATAAGTAGGTACACCAAATTAAACACTACTAAACGTTTTTAATAACCAACATAAATGTGTTACAACACTGTAATATTATGTAACATTGTAACTATTACAAATTAATCCATAGTTCCATCATTGTATAAAATTATTCAATTATTGGTAAAAACAAATTTTTATTTTTATGGTTTTTATGATTGTTAAGTTATTTTATTTTTTTTTGCTATGAGAGCATTTATGTATACACTATGTTAATTTTGTGTTAGATACCTTTTTTATGCCTATTAAATACACATTAAATATGTAATATAACTGTTTTTATTTTATTTTTTTACGATTACATTGATGATAGATCCATCTTCTTTATATGCTCTAAATAATCCTTTTTAATAAAGTAAGTATCATTAAGAGGACTCAACATGCGTTGTCTCCATCTTACTAACGCATAACATTACAAATTTTACATTCTGAATAGTCCATTTAACTTTGTTATGTTTAATATCATAGCGATGGTCATATTATTATCAAATTCAAGTACAAATATTAGTTATGCGATTTATGAGCATTGAAAAATGTTAAATTGCTTGTAAATTATAAAATGAGCAAACAAAGTTAAATTAATTATTCAGAACTTACATTTTTTTATGTTTTCCGTTTGTAAGATGGAGAAAACACATGCGAGTGTAGCGTCCACTTAATATAATTATGTTTCATGTTTCATCTGTTGATATGACAGACAATGTTGATGTTCTTAAAAAGTTTTATTTTTTAGATTCTGAACAATGAATGTGGCAGTTTTAAATTATCAATGATGTTTCTATGTCCATACCCCTAGCAGTTAAATGATTTTTGAACATTGTTAGTGGTTTGTGGTGGAAAACTGAACCTAATTGAATCTAATTGGTACATTAAGGAGACAAAAAAAAATTCCTATTACTTATCAAAAATAATAACCGGAAAAAAACAAAACAAAAAAAAAAAAGGTAGGCAAGTGGGTACCGCTCGGCTGTACATCTAGTTTCGATTGAAAAGTTTGTAACTGATGGATGTGTTAACTTTGAATTCAATGATATGTCAGGAATATTTCATGGGGGGGGGGGGAGTAACTCGAGTAAGTTTAATAAGAAATTTCCATTCGTTTTCTGTTCAAAAATAAAAAAAGAAACGAACATTTTATGCAAAACTATTTTTTGCCAAAATCGATTTTGTTTTTTTTGGTGTAGGTAACTCAAAAACTAATTACCTTGGATACTTAATATATTAAATACTTTATACTTATAAACTTTCCACCAAATATTTATTCGACCATATTTTCCATAAATGATAAAATGTTCTATATATTTTGATTCTTTTTGAGTTATTTATAACCATGAGAATTTGTCGATATTTTTTAGTTTTTTTTTTCAATTATTGTTGATGAATAATTTTTCACTCTATCAATAAACTAGAAAATTACATATAAGTTTTTAATAGTTTAATTGAAAAAAAAGTTAAGAGTAAATCTATACTAGTTTTTGATGATTGTGCGGTTAGAATTTTAACAAAATTCTTCAAAATCGCGGAATTTGCAAATTATTAATCAGTTAGAAATGCATAAACATTTTTGTTTTCATAGCCAACATTTTAATGTAATAGATGATTTCTTATAAGTATTTCTTCCTTTAACAAAATATAATATTAATTGAAAGTAACATTAACTTTTAAAAATGTATACCTATGACTGGATATTCACCAATCGGTTTTTGATATTTTTTTGTAGTTCAATAATGAAAATCCGTAAATAGTAAATACTATACATTTTTATCTTCTAAAAAATGATTTGATTTCAATATTGTACATAAGGTCCATATAATGGAGGATTTCAATCACCGTTTCCAAGACACTAGTTTGCACGAAAACTGCGTGTCTTAACTAATAATTTGTAATTATACCATCTATACGAGATCACAGATCACCGATTATAGTTGGACCTACCACACGACGCGTGGATGGATCATGAACCAGATGATGCGCTATTTTGTGAAATAGACGAGGCAGTACGCTGGGCCCAACGACTGGACAACATCATAACTCATAGGTAAGTATTTATATTTCATAACCATAATGATAATTTATTGATGAACAATGAATAGTATACGATAACATAATGACCGGAACGTCACCAAACTGTTTTATATCGACCGACTATACAGGGGCGGACTGGCTTCTTTAGAGCGGCCCGGGAATTTTTTTTAAAGTGGCCCAAAAACTATTGTCTAACCTAATTATAACATTTATGTTTAAAATACGACACATTTTTTCCATTGCATATTCAAAATATAAATAATAACAGCAGATATATCATGCGTTTTAGGTAATATATTTAATTTATTGGCTTAAGGAATTAATAATTTATGAAATGTTTTGCTTTTTTAGGCTAAACGGTCTATAACCGTTTGGTGCTGTATGTAAATTAAAATATTTTTTTCTGTAGCCATTAAGACAAAAGCTTCTAGATTATTCCGTGTCATGCTGTTCCGAGAAGACAATTTCATTCATTTTTATAGTATAAAAAACAATTAAAAATTCAATAAATTAATTCATATTTATTTTATTATTTAAATACCTATGTTGTTGTTGCATACATATTAATATATTATTAATTATAATTTAGTAAAATAGTTCACGACTCACATTGTATTGCCATTTGCCGCGCAAACCAAATTTTACAAAATTGTCTAAAATAGTATTATCTTCTATACTTATCTTACCTTTTAAAAGGCGATATCGGGATCGTAAATATTCAAAAGGTACGTGCTTCTTTCCAGTAGTCAATGCAAAATATAAATTAACTCTTATTAGTTATTACAATATTACAGACGACGGACTCGTGAACGAAATACGAAAACAGTATATATTATTTTTAAATAATATTATATTGAATTATATCGTATACAAACAAATAGTGATACCGCCACTGATACAAACCTAAATGGTTGCCGGATGCGTTATTGGCTATTATTTCTATTTATATAAACTAAAATTATTTTTATAACTGTGTCTTAGAACAACAAAATATAATTTTTGGTATGATTATTATCGTATTATTTATGTTATATTTTATAGATTTTAAATACACCAAACACTGAATACTATATTATTAAAATTTAAAAATCATAATATAAGTTAGTTATTTGTACAATCAAACTGCCCCGCCCGAGACGGCCTATAATCCCATTATTCGACAGGCCCATCGGGAAATTTCCCGATCTCCCGATCTGCCAGTCCGCCCCTGCGACTATAGCACGATTTAAGATACCTAGTACCTACCTACTATCTTAAATCATGGACTATAGTTGAGACTCGAGGGGTGATCAATATTGTATGATATATTGATATGGCATTCATTAGAATCATCACAACGGTGCACATGCTCTCGACGTTCAGATTTCCGTGCGTTAATATTGATGATTCGATGATTTCGATGTCAACTATCGTCTATCACAGAAGATGATAGATTATACATCTAAGATCTAAGGTCTCCAGGAGAACTCACCTTGGTCGAATGCTTGCTCAGGAACGTTATGCAAGCAATAAATCTGTATCTATGTCTATATAGGTCCACGTCCACCTCTAGATCAGTAATGCTTCTACACCTTTTTTTTACGATGACACGCTAATTTAGAGCCATATACAAATTACCACACACTTAAAACAGTTAATAGATTTTTTTAAAAAGTAACAATTATAAACCTATATATAAATTTAGAATGAGCCTATCTCCACAATTGTTTTTCTTACCTAATACCTGTGATAGGTATTTTCTATTTACCATCTGCACGTCATAACTCATAACACTGTATTATAATGTCGTATACCTACCTATATATTTTATACTTTGAATACGTATACAATATAAATAAGCAACTTTTTTTGGCGACACACTGGTTGAAAACCACTACTCTCGACCAGCGTGTTTCTTTAAACTTTTTGAGATCAAAGAACACCAAACAATAATATTTTTTTTATGCGGAACCCTCTATGAAAATTAATAGGTAATAAATAATAATAGGTAACTAATCAAAAAATTAGGGTAGAAGTTTTGAGTAATAGAACCCCTATAATACGAGTTATTCGTGGATCACAGTTTAAGAAACACTGCTCTAGACCATAGGCGCAACTAGAGGCCAAACACTAGGGGTGCTAAAATTATGTAGAGAACACAAACCCGAGGGGGCTACGCCCCCACACCCCAAAATAACATACTTCATACTTTGATTTTATAATTACTATAACCATTCCTAAATGCACCATGAACACATAAGGACACTAATATTTAAGTAAATCAACAGTAATATACCTGATGAATACATGAGGTATATTATATTATT